GAGAGGGCTGTGAGCCCCCCTCCCCCCAATCCCGCCTCTGGCCCTGTTGCCATTCCCTATTACAAATCTGTAGGCAGCTGGCTCTCTGATAGAATGCACCTCACTGAAATAGGTCAGCTCGGCCTAAAGAAGGGACAGGCAGCCTGCCCCACGGCCATGCTACCAAGGTAAACAGGCGAGAATGCGGGGACAGGGACCATAACATGCCCTCCTTCCCTTACCACAGACAAGCTGGAGGTGAGAGAAGAGAAGAGTCCACTGGAGACCAGGACGGTGCAGCCATTAGGCCACCACCTGCCCATGGCTGCACGGTCCCTCGGAGTGCCCCCACCCCACGCAAATCTTCTCAGCTGAAGCAGCTGATTGGCAGTTAGCTCCAGCTGTTCCAAAGTAGAGGCTTTCCTCAATGCCTAGGGACTGGATGGTTACCCTACAGAGGTTCTCAACCTATGGGTCATGACCCCAAAAAGACCATCATCAGAAAACACAGGTATTTACATTATGATTCATAGAAGCAGGAAGGCTACAGTTATGAAGTAAGAATGAAAATGATTTTATGGTTGGGGGTCACCATGACTGTATTAGGTCACAGCGTTAGGAAGGTTGAGAACCCCTGCTAGAACTTCCTTGCCTGGAGAGTGACATGGTGGCTCAGGCAAGAGACAGCCTTAGGGACCCAAGAAGAGAACAGAAGCTTCTGGAACGCAAAAGAAGACAGCAGGGATTCAGGAGCTCAGGCCATGGTGGTGACAGGCAGCTATGCCCAGCAACCACTAAGGCAAATTTGGAGCGATTCACCCTTGCCGCACATCTGCTCAGCGTGGTGTGTATTTCCCACATCCCCTTTCACCGCAACAAGGCAGGGCTGTGAAGCTTCTGAAGAAACTGAAGCCAGAGAGCACAGCACTCGGCCACTTAGCGGCGGGACGGAGAAGCAAACTGGGGCAGACTAGGGACGTCTTGTAAGCATGTACTTGCAAAGGAGAGTGGCCGGAGCTCAGATCCAGCCTTCCCCACCCCTGCTCCCCTCTGCTGCTCCCAGAGCAGGACAGCACAGGCACAATGCCCAGCACCGAGCAAAAATTTAAGCAGTTATGGTGGCTAGTCACTGCCTCATGTCCACTAGAGCGTACCTTTGCTTAAAAAAAATAGATGTAAATCAATTCATTTTGACTAAACAGATTATTATCACTTAAACTAAGAACCACCTCTTAAGGACACTTAGGGATTTTGTTTAAACATTTTACTTGTCTTCAGGGCACCAGGAGTCTTCCTGTATCTCAGTCCCTGCAAGGGCATTGTGCCTCCTCCTTCACCCTAAGCACTCTTCCGCACAAGGCGCAGACCAGAGTGAGCCAAGTGTTCCTAGTCCACAGTGGCTAAAGATGAGGTCCAGAGAAGAGCGAAGGGGCTGCGTGACCCACCCAACCACCCGGTAGACAATTACATAAGCTGGACCCTTTGCCCCCCCAGAGCTATAAGAGTAAGGATGTCAGGCTTGGGTCGCCCCGGTGGATTCCCCGGCCCCAGCCCCACCCCACCTCTGCTGTTTTCAAACGCTAAGATCCAATCAAGCAGGCAGGCTGGGTAGTGGAGGGGGCCGATTTCCGGGGCCTGCGGTCGCTACACTCCACTTCCTTGTGATGACAGAAGTACTGTTTTTGAAACAGGAGGCCACTACCAAGCTCCTCAGGTCTCCACACAGCCCATAAAGGCCCCAGTTCCCCAGATCTACAAATTAGGCAGCATGGGGCATGGCACTGAATGGCACTGCTTAGCTTTGGGACCCTGAAGGCACCCACGTGTAAGGACCCCACAACTTCTTCCATCTTTACTCTCCTGGCCGCCCGACCAAGCCTTGATTAAAAATTTAGGCAGCCGTTGACCAAGATTTCAGAGACGCCTAATACTTGGGAAGTAGCAGCAGTGAGAAGTCCCAGAGAGGGGTAGGGGTGGAGTCTACCACTGCCCGCTGGGTCCCACAGTAGCCTTAAAGGCCAGTTGTGGGGCTAGCCAAGGCACCTCCCCCTCCCCAGCACACTAAAGGAAGGAAGCTGAGCAGAGAAGGCAAAGATAAGGGGAAGGGGCTAGGCAATACCAAGGACCCTCCTTAGGGTGCGGCGCAGAGCTGGGGGCTTAAATGAGTTTACCATGTGACTTGGTTTCCATCCCCCATTTAACTATGCCAACTTGCATTTCTTGGCTGCTCCCCCTTGCTTATGTCCCCCATTTGCAGGCCTCTGTTTTTGCAGCACGGTGCTTACAGCTCCGCCTCCTCCCTCTCTGACGTCACTGCTTACCCTTCTCCTCCCCCACCCCCACCCCAGGTAAAGACCTTTAGAGTACAGGGATTAATGGCTAAAAGGATCACAGGCAGATGGAGGGAGTCCCCAGCGTTAGGTTGACTGGCCTGGATTCAGGGCACACGTGTCTGACTCCACCTAGCAGGGGAGACCACAGTGTGAGGATCTGGGGGCTGCTCACACCTGGCCCTCTTTCCCCACATCTTCAAAGTTCCCTCTCTGACTCTAGGAGTCAGGGCCTCCAAGCAGCACTTTTTACTTAGGCAGCTTCAACCCAGTTACAAGCCAAGAGCTCCAGGGTCCCCTCTTAACATCCAAGGGCCTCTCTTTCCCCAACACACTCCTGGTCAACCCTGCCTTGCTTGCTCCCAAGGCTAGATCCCACATGTGATTCTCACGGGAATTTACAAAGATGAGGAAGGACTTCCGGGAAGTCAGAAAGAGCTGGCTTTGCCAGCAGCTGCTAGGAAACTTACGGTAGATGGTAGGTCTAGGCAATCCCACATCTTTGCTCCTTCTCACAAATGTGCCCAAACTGGACTGTAGCCCCAAACCCAGTCCCTTCAGGGACACCAGTGATTTCTGAAGGTGGGACGTAAAAAGAGATCCTAAACCACGGAGAATTCCCCCTAAAGCACATCACTGGCACCTTCTGCTCCCTTTCCCAGCCCAGTCCCACCCTCAGCTCTCTGATTAGAACCTGGGTCCTGTCCAGGCATTGTCTGCCTTGAAGGGCCAGCTGCCCATGGAGGTCCAGCGTGTGCCGGGCTGGCTGAACAAGAGCCAGAGGGCAGATGATGAGTGGGCGGAGTTCTCACCTTCCTGGAGCCCTCGGAAAGGCTAACTGTGGTCAGTTGCCCCACAACTTCATCTACACAGGTGACCCCATCTGGGAAAAGCACCCCAAAGATCCGGGTGCAGAGGGCAGGCACCACCAAGGTCCCAGGAACCTCCTGATGGTGGTCGTGGGAAGGGAACACTAGCTTCTCCCTGACTCTCTACACAGGTGCCCATGCCCCTGGGCTCTTGAAGTAGGAGCTCCATATTTTACCATGCCAGGCCCAGACTGGGGAGTCTGAATCGAGGGGGTAAGGCCTTTGTTTGGCCCTCTCCTGCAAAATGGAGTCTAAAGGAAAGCCCCCATGGATAGCCCACCCCACCTCCTGCCCTGTCAGTTCTGGTTCATACTGGTTGGGGGTTAGGGTTCCGTTTTCTTTTTATGGTGGGTAGCTCGCCTCTCCCCGGCTGCTGTAAATGCCATATTTACGCGTCTCACTCCCACCCCCACCATGCGCTTCCCTCGACCTCCAAGGGTCCCCGCTGCAATGTCAGCCTCAGTAGCAGCCTGGCTCCGCCCCCACCAGCCCACCAGGCACCTGCAGGGCTCCTCTTTGTCTCAGGCTGTTCGGTGCCAGGACGAGAGTGCACAAGTGATGGTCTAAGTGCTGCAGGAGATGCTGGACCGGAAGCCCTCCACCTCCCTCCCTCAGACCCGGAGCTATCGGCTGTCCCAGTGCCTTCTCTCTGGGTTGCACAGAGTTGGTCAGGCGGCTGGAGGCACCTGCTCTAAATGAAGCAGGAAGAGGGAACCTATTCCATCGCTTTCTCTGATCTTGTCTAGGAGCAGCTTCCCAGGGTCCCTGGAATCTGGGTCATCTCTAACCCCGGGGATCTGGAGATGGGTCTCAGAGACCCACCCTAGGCTTTGACTACTCCCCCGTCCCATTCTTCAAGACTGGAACAGAGACGTGTGCTCCTCTGGACATGCCTGAGTTGGTGACCAGCTCCTACATCGGCACTCTCTCAGTATGTCCTCAAAGAGAAGACCTCAGAACCAAATCAAGGGAGCTGGCGAGCAGCATCTCCACGCAGCACAAAGAACACAGATGGTTCAACTTTGTAGCATTTCCTGCCCCTGCACCTGTGTGCAAAAGGACCCACTCAGCCACAGTCCTTCCCCCATTAGTCTGCCCGATCACTTCTAGTACCTGCAGGCATTGGAAACGGGACTCCAGATAAGCCTGGGGGCCCTCCCTCTTCTCGGTGTCACCTATGTGCCTGCTGTGGATGTAGCATTCGGGTCGTGCCACCCCTTCCACCCCTTCGGGGTAGTCCCTCAGATACACCTTTCCCTCCCTCCCCTAGCTCCATCTCCTTTTGGGGCAGGACCAGCAGGGTTCTCTCCAAAAAGCCATTGGCACCCTGTGGAAGGCCGAGGCACCATTCCAACCCTTTCATGGGTCCCACAACCGATCTTTGTCTGTAGTACTCGCTCCCAGGATGGTGAGCTGGATGAAGAGCAGAGAACTAGCTAACTAGGGTAGATGGGGGAGGGGGGAATTCCCTCCTATACCCCAGAATGAGACAGCAGCCTCATGGGGAGGCGAAGAGGAAACACACAGACGCTCCGGCCTGGGCCAGGGCTGGGTGTGAAATACCGGATTTCCTTGTTTATTCGATTTTCTGATCATTAAGGGCTCCCAAGAGGGGCCAGAAATTACCACCCAAACAAAGCCACCCTCCATCAGTCCGCAGGGCCGCCGCTCCCCTGAGGCAGCCGGGCCAGCGCGCGTCGGCCCCTCCTCCTGGACTGCGGGCTCCAGATCGAGCGGTGCCCGCGCCCCCCGCCCCGAGTCCACGCGAGACAAAGCCCGAGCCCCCCTCCTCGCACGCCCCTTCACCGCCATCGGCGCTCACCTGACGGCCACTTTGACGCAGCAGTCGCCCTGGCCAGCCATGGTCCTCTGGCACTAGGGTCTGGGCGCGGATCAGGGGTGGGGGTCCGGGGGCCACTGCTCCAGGCAGCGGCTGCGGCTGCAGGAGGCGGAGGCACGGACACTGCTAGTGAAAGCGACCTCGCAGGCTGGAGGTGACATGCTCGCAGGAGGCGGCGAGGGGCTCACCCGCGGCCGGCCCCACGGGGCTGGTCCCGCGCCTCTCCTCCAGCCATCGCGCGGCAGCGTTGAGCTGGCTGACAGCGGGCGGGTGAGACCCGCAGCTCCCTACAGCGCGGCACACGCGCGCACACACCTCCCACCCTGGCCGCCACCTCCCGCCGCAGCGCGAACAAAGGGGGCGGGGGCCGAGCCGCTCCAGGACCCACCCCCAGCCCCTCAGAGCCGCACAGGGCTCCGCCCCTCCCTGGAGCCGCCAATAGAAGATCCCAACGAGCAGCAGAGGCGGGACTTGAGCCTTTAAAGGGACCTCTTGGCTCGCGTCCACCGGGTTGCTGGGAGGGGCTGGTAGGATTGGAGGGCTTGGGGGTGAAGGCGGGAGTGGCATGATGTACTCGTCCTGGAACTTGACCATTCGGGAACCTCGGCCCTTGAATTCGTGGTACCTCAGCCTCATTGGCACCTTCCTTTCCTAAATGGGGAACGGGACTCAAAGAGGAACAGCCCAAGGTCGTACAGCGAATCTGTGGCTTGGAGTGGGTAAGAACCCTGGCCTCCGGGCAGCGTGCTGCACCTCAGAGCGTCCCACAGTGATTAGCAACTCGCAATTTGAAAAAACCAGGAAAGTATCCCTTCTGCATTTATTCCCGCAAATTCGTCAACCTTTACTTAAGGGGATTCTTGTTTATATGTCTTAGTAAATTTCCCCAACTCCACCCTGCAACATCTTAAAAGCCCATCTTTTGCTTTGATTGCTGGCCAGCTCAGACTCTCCCTGCTAGACTAGGGTCCCATTGACCTTTATGACCCACAGATGACCCATTGGGCCTGGTTCACACTCTGCTTTGTGACCGTGGGGGCAGAGGGTCAATGTGGGAGGCCAGAGCTGCCTAGGAAGTGGTAGGAACAAAAGGGCTCTTTAACTCCAGATACCTGGATGAGGCTGGATGGCAAAGAAGGTGGGAAGGGAAGGTGAAGGCCAGCAGCCACAAACACAAAGTTACATGAAAGACAGGGGGCAGCCCTGGAGACTTTAACACCAGGCCTTGAGAGAGGAGAGGAGGCTGTGACGTTCCCTTTCCAGCTCCCCTCCCCTCCCTCTGAGCCCCACTCCTCCCTGCCCCCCAACTCTCAACATTAGGGCCATTCACAGGGCCCCTCACCAGCTGCCCTCCCTTCCCTGGCTTCACCAGCTCTGGAAAAGGCCCAAGAGGAGGACCCAGCTGCAGCTGAAGATGTGGATGGAGACCTCTGGGGGAGGGGAGACAGGGGAGCCTGGCTCCAGAGCTTCTTGCATCAGCCTCAGATGATGAAATAGCCTCAGAGATTTTGGCAAGGGTGTGGGTTAGGGTCTCAAAGATCCAGTTCTTGGTGCCATCACACACACACACACACACACACACACACACACACACACACACGTCCCCCCACACCGTCTGTGACTGCTCTGCCCAGGAACCCAGATCCCTGCTTGGAATAATTTTAAAGGTAAATCTCAAAGTTCTGTCACGATATTGTTTCTACTCTCTCAGCAAACAGGAGGCGAGCCATGCCCCAGAGTGGCGGGGGTGGTCTGGATAAGGGGTCCTGGTGGGATCCTGCATATTCATATCTGCATCTGAAGCCAGTGAACCACATGTCTTAGAACAAGAAGCCAGCAGGGCATTGAGGCATTGAAACCTCCCCATCCTCCAACTGAAATGGACAGAGGGAGGTGAGGGATGCTTGTACTACACAGGCAGGTACTTCTTGTGTATGTTCTTGTTCATCCTCCAACCTCGTGAGCTAGGTTTTAGTACTCCTTTTCAGTTTTGCAAGTGGGAAAATAGAGTCTTATAAGCAGCAGAGGATTTGAACTCATGCCTGTAGTTCTAGGCTTCCCACCACCTCTAAGGGAATGCTTAAGGGGAAGGGAGCAGGACCGGCCCAGCTCTCCTTGAAGGAGCCACAGGCTACAGGCTTAGCCCTCCAGAATGATAATGTGTTTTCATCAAAAACGCTCTCCCTCCCATCCATCTCTGGGCTTCTTTGGTACTTAATTCTGGTTTCCTGTTTGCCTTAGGTCTTCCCAGACTTCCACCAGTAGGTGACCCTTCTGACTCATAGTTCCACTGCTGGGAAATGCCACCAGAGCTGTCCCACCCCCCCTGCATCCTCTGACGTCCAGGGTGTCCAGTTAGGGTGAGCAAGGAGGCACATGGGCTGCAGATTTGGGCCTCCTAGATAGTTTCAGGGTTCCAGTTACCCCCACCCACCCCAGCAGCTCCCTCCTGGGCCATCAAGGAGCAGCTGGGTGGTGGAGGTTCAGACCCTGCCTCCGAGGCTCCACTGTTCAGAAGTGAGGTCATGTGGGGATCTGAGGTGAGAAAGAGGCTTTGCCGTTTGGGGAGATTTAGATCAGGCCAGAGAAAGCCTAAAACAGTCTCTGCCCTTGTTGAGCTTTATCCGGCTTCAACACTACTGCTGCTTTGCCGCCTTCCCACCTCCTACCTCTTCCCAGCTGCTCTTTTTCCCTTCTCTCCTTTCTAAACCCTGAGGTCCCTCAGGGTCAGCTGCTTTCTGCAGTCCTCAATGCTTCACACACACACACACACACACACACACACACACACACACACACACCCATGACATCTCTCAGAATCGGTTACTATATGCAGCCCCTCAATGATACACACATACACACACACATACATGATGTTTCTCAGCATCAGCTACTGTAAGCATATGCAGCCCTCAATATTTCATACACAACACACACACACACACACACCCCTGGTACACACCCATGACATCTCTCAGGATTGGCTATCGTATGCAACCCCTCAATGATACACATACACACACACACATGATGTTTCTCAGCATCAGCTACTGTATGCATGCATATGCAGCCCTCAGTACTTCACATACACACACACACACACATACACTCATACACACGGCGGGGAGAGAGAGAGAGAACAAGCTGGCTCCAAGCCCCTAACTGGACTAGAATATAAGCCATAAGCCTCGACTCCTATTCTGAGCTGAGTCCCTTCCCCCAGGCATCTTGGGTCCTCCATCATTTCTCCTGACAGGAGCTGTGGGCGTCTGGGCAGATGGGAACCTAGGGGAGGTGTGGGAAGCCCCCTCCAAGTCAGGAAGCTCCCACGCAACTGTAGTTAAAATACTCCAGCAGTGACTTAGGGCAGCCATCTGGCCCAGCGCGCTCTTAGACACATTCCACTTTTTAACAGTGATGCTGTGGGAACAAATAGAAACTCTGAAGGGGGATACCCATAGATACCAGGAATGTTCCCAAGGTGGTCGATCTCAACTTGAGTCTTTTCTCCCCGCCCCCTTTCAGGGGTGGCCCTGGGCAATAGCTTTGTAAAATCTAAATAAGCCCTGGTGTCAATGGTGGTGGTGGATACAAAACTCAGGACCTTGAGTTCTAATCCCAGGCCTTTCCCAGCAGCTGTGTGGGGGTCCATGGTATCAGAGGCCTCAGCCTGTCCTTTAACAGTATCCTCAGCAGCTGTCCAGCTGCAGCCTCAATGTCCATCCAGAGGCAGAGCCCGTTCTTCCCACCAACAGGAAGCTCAAGACCCCAGAAAAAGTCCACTGAGATGCAGACTCAGGAGATCTGAGTGCAGACATGACCCGAGCCTCACTTCCTGTGTTTAGGAGGAGACAGGCTGAGCCACAGAGGAAACCAGAGTCTGTTATAAATAGCAAGGATGGCAGAGAGCTGTGGGTTTCAAACATCTATCAGTCTTAAAACAAACTCTATTTTTGGCTTCAAATATAATTAGGATTTAATTAATGCTCTGTGTAGCCTCAAAAATGTATCTATTTCTCTTATTTTTAAGCCATGAAGCACAGGCTAGCACTGAAACTCATGATCCTCCTGCCTCAGTTTCTAGATAACCCTAGGCATACCTCATTGTACACAGTTCTCTGTCTCTTTCTCTCCAGTTTTTGAGACAGGGTTTCTCGATGTAGCCCTGACTGTTTTAAACTCACTCTGTATTCCAGACTGGTGTTGACTCAGAGATCTGTCTGCCTCTGCCTCACAGTGCTGGGATTAAAGGCGTGCACCTGCCATACATGGTTCTTTTTTTGGTTTTGGTTTTGGTTTTGGAGACGGGGTTTCTCTGCAGCTTTGGAGCTTGTCCTGGAACTCGCTCTGCAGACCAGGCTGGCCTCGAACTCACAGAGATCTGCCTGCCTCTGTGCTGCTGGGATTAAAGGCACAAGCCACCACCACTGGCTCCTGTACATGGTTCTTAATTAAACATGGTGATTTTACCTACCCTTCTCCTTCGCTGTACCTTCTAACAGTATTCATGTGGCAATTTTCAATGTCACCAAGTCCTAAACTCAAAAAGAACTCCCAGGACACATTTACCGCTAGTTTATTTTCAAGGGAAGGAACTGAGGCCCAAAGGAGGTAAAGAGACTTGCTGAAAGTCGCATAGTACAGTAAGTTGGGGCTGAGCTGCAAGGCTGGAAGTCTGGTTGCTGTGCTGTCCCAGGGCAGGCTCCATGGCAGCAAGATACGGACCCCAAGGCTAAACATCTGAAATTAGGCTGTCGTAAGTTTATAGTCCTGACAAAACTTTGGTCTGAGCGAAATAACGAAAGACAGCCCAGAGGCTGAGTTGTGATCTTCTGAGTCACAGAGATCTGGGCTCCCATCCCAGTTCTTCCCCTTATGAGCTATGTAGCCCTGGGCCAGTGATGCAACCATACCCAGCATCAGCTCCCACATCGAGGACAATCACGTTCTCATCTCGGGACCATTATGAAGTTACAGTGGGGGACCCTGCACCAAACATCCCACCCAGTGCTTGCCTCAGAATGGGTGTCAAGCCTTCTTCACATTGTCCTCGGGTTCTCCATCTTTTCTCCAGCAGACTCCACCTCTGTCTGGACAGAGGACTGGGTTTATTAAAAAGAGTACCAGCCGGAGAGGCACTCTCAGGAGTGTGAGCAAGGCTGACAGGACACAGGTTATGAGAAGGAGGTGTCATCGTGGGGGCTGAGATGGAGTTCAGCGGTGGGAGGCTGGCCCTGCATGCCTGGAGTCCTAGGTTCATCTGAGCAGCCAGTGTGAGATCTGCTGGGTGGAGAGGGGAAGCTGCAGGAACTTACCCACAGT